AATAATGTGCTGTGGCTTCATTTTGAAATTTTAATTTTATTATAACTCGATTGTGCTGCAAGCAAAGGAAATGCTGTATCTTTCCCTGAGTGTTCCTGCACGGGCATCTGTTCAGTATAAGTATCATCCAAACAGAGTTGATAGGGTCATTTCCACCACCCCATGCTCAAGGGCAATTCACAGTGACAGGGGCTGCATCCCGGTGACCTGACCAGCAAGAAGGGCTGTTCACTAGAGGGCGTTAACTGTGACATTAGGAAAATATTAAAGAAATAGGTTGAGCCTTTCCAGAAGGATATTTTATGTAGGTTAGGAGGTTAGGTCTAGACACAGAACTTAGAAAGTATCAAACACACACACACACACACACACACACACACACACACACCTCCAAACAATGCATTGCAGGCATATTACATATCAGTATCTAAGAAGCAGTGTTTGAAAATATAAATCTTACAAATCAAATCAGATTCCCCTGTAATGGTGACATACTAGTCTAACTCTAAAGGTAGTTGAAAGAACAAAGAAAGAAGCGGGGGGTGGGGGAAGCATGCTCAACATAGCTCAAGTCGCTGAAGAAATAATTTGAGGAAATCATCCCTCCATCAGGAAAGTACTTGATCCCCTTCCCACATAAAGTGCGACATTTTACATGGGGTGACTAATTTGTGCATATTAAACATGGCATGTTTATAAATAATGGGATCGTCAGTAGGTTTGTGCTGAAGTGGTGAGATGCCAAAAGTGCGGAGATTTGTGGAAGTGAATTCATTTTTATAACTGGCATTTAATCAACTCAGCTGTCAGCTTCGATGGGAAACCTATTCTCTTGAGCAAATAAGAAATGGAAATCTGGAAATGACAAATTAATGAAATAGCTGTTGTCAGGTTAAACTCGATAATATAAGGTAATCAGCCTTCATCTTTATATTAAGTTGCTGCATTATCGGGGCAGGGGAGTCTGACAGCAGTCAGACCTCAGACAAGTTTAAATGATCTCTAAATGAGCAATCCCTCAGGATCCACTGCATCAGCCCTAAATTGCTGCTTTCACTTTATTTTTTGCGTGAAATTATCTGAAAGAATTCCGCATATGAAAGTCTTGTTATTTTATAAATTTTACACATATGTATTATAGCAAAAAAAAATGCATCCCATATATTGTGATGGGGTATGAATCGAGGACTGGGGGCGGGGGGGGGATTATGAAACATAAGGAACCATTTCAGCAGAAATGGTGTGGGAAGTGGTGGAATGGGGTTTTGAGAAATAAGGAGGTTTCTTTTTTAAGAAACCCTGACTGAACTCAACTCTGCATTGCTTCCATGTGGCGCTTAGAAACCTCTTGGCCAATCCTTTCAACTGTAACTGCTACCTGGCTTGGTTGGGAGAATGGCTCCGGAAGAAAAGAATTGTAACGGGCAACCCTCGCTGTCAGAAACCCTACTTCCTCAAAGAGATCCCCATCCAGGACGTGGCCATTCAAGACTTCACCTGCGATGATGGTAAGGAGGCCGGGCCCGGCCTGCGCCCCCCAGGCGTCCAGGTGACTGTGCCAATGCTAAGAGGGCAGCTGCCCCGCGTATCCGTCCAAAGATAGTCCTGGCGCATCTTTTTCGTTGCTTTCTTATGTTTTAGCCAGAGGACACTTCCTTTCTCAGAGGGCACCTTCCTATCCAAATCTACTTTGTGCTTCTGAAGGCTGTAGATTTAACAATTTCCAACTGGCAGTTGGTACTGTTTTTACAGCTTCATTTTAACATCTCTTAATTACCCGAAGCATCTCTTCCAGTAGCTATCATTTCCAAATGAGAAAAGCAATTGACTTCTAAAATAGAAATGCTAGTAATCCAACAAAAGTAATAATTTTCGCTTTTTCATGCACTCTATGTATCACGGCATTTTACTGGAGTAACCCTGTCAGTATGCGAAACAGGTTCTGTAATTATTGCCAGTGAATGCAGAACTGATTTAAGTTCACACTTTAAAATGAGGGACCCTGCCTGGCCGGTGTGGCTCAGTGGTTGAACATCGCCCTATGTACCAGGAGGTCAGGGTTTGATTCCCAGTCAGGGCACATGCCCAGGTTTGCTGGATCCCCAGTGTGGGGCATGCAGGAAGCAGCCGATCATTGATTCTCTCTCTCCCTCCCTCTCCCTTCCGCTCAAAAAATCAATAAAAATATATTTTTAAAAATGAGGGGCCCACACCATTTTTGCGAAACATTTGAAATCTATCCCTTTATGTCTCTTCACGTCTGTCTCCTTAATTCAGTTAACACATAGATTCTAATTAAAAGTATAATTTATATAAATAACTGCACAAAGACAGTAACTATTATCATTGTATTAATGATACACATTGGACATTATTTTCTGGAATTCTGCCCTCGGCTGTCTGGAAATGGAGCTGTATGAAATGGATGGTGTCTGTAAATCCTTATTGCCCTCCACATCAGTGATTATATGACCCAAGATGGGTGCTTGTTACGTTAACTTAAAGCCATAAAACCATTTCTAACCTCTTCAAAGCTGCAAATCTGGGTTTTCCTGTATGTCTTTTGGCAATTTAGGAAATGATGACAATAGCTGTTCCCCACTGTCCCGCTGTCCCGGGGAGTGCACCTGCTTGGACACAGTGGTTCGATGTAGCAACAAGGGCTTAAAGGGTTTGCCCAAAGGAATCCCAAGAGATGTCACTGAATTGTAAGTAAAAGCTTGTCTGTCTTTCTTTTCTGAGTAATTAATATGTCATACTCCAAGGGAAGTGGGCTTCACACCGAAGTTTTTGCAGTCCTGTTTGCAGATTACATTCTAGGGGTCAATAATTAGTATCACATAAAACCTTAAACGAATAATATGAAAGCTAGTTCAGAGGCCTTGGGAAATGCCGGTTATGTGTGTTTCTCTTCTTTCACTGCAGGATTTCTCAGTGCTTTTATTATGCCAAGGTGCACTGTGGAGCTCCAAGAGAGGGTGGTAAAATGTGAGGTAGCTCCCATACTTACTTGTTTCTATAGCCCTTTTCCCATGGAGTATGTTGCAAGACTAATGTCCCATCCAGTGCACCGTGGGAAATGCTGTGTATTTAGCTCATCTACAGTGTCAGGAGATCCCATTTGGTTAAGTATCTCTTACCCCTGTGTCTCCTGGGAGAACATCTCACCATATGTGGTGCATTAACATCTGGGAGGTGGGAGAAGCTGGCATAATCCTTAAAAAGAAATGTGTGACTTGAATCAGAGTCCCTCGGTTTGGAAAGGGTGTGGGGCCAGTTAGCTCTAACATTTTCATTACTGACATTTAACCACAGAGTACATTGCCAAGGCACAATATCCAGACACTAAGCACCACCCACACCTCCTTAGCGGCCTCGTGCTATGTGGTGCTCTGTGTGGGAAATGGAATAAATCAGAGACTAGACCGCTTAAACGGTATGGATGCGTGCTCTATTCCATTCCTTCATCTGTGTACCACGGGCCATGTACGCATGCCTGACGTGCAATTAAGTTATTTTGCCTCATTGATTTTTGTCTGTATGGAACCATGCATCAAAAACGATGTAAGTCCAACTCTACCTCATGCAAATGCGTACCTGTCATTAATGCGGATGCATCCAAGTACCCCAATGAGCAGCTTTGATAAACTTTGGTCCATGCGGAACATTCTGAATGAGGTTTAAGGAGATGCCACTTCAGTTGTCAGAAAACTCGTTTTCAAATCCTGTGCAGTTCTCTGAGTCTTAATTTGGTCCTGAACGGAACACTTAGGCAGAGACCGTGTGATCTTAGCGTGTGTGCATAGAAGGTCCCTCTCGGATTTGAATAGTTGTGAGGTGATCTGTTTCTCTCTCTGACTACCAGTCGCAGTTGTTAGTTAATGATAAGCACTGTTTTGTGTGTGCGTGGTGTGTAATTAAAGACTTAATTCTTACTTTAATGTGTATTTAGTTCAGAAGGTTTCCCTCCATTCAGCGTTGGGAAGCTAGATGCCTATGGAATAGTCTGTATGCATTGATTCTAGGTGCACCCCACCAAGGACATAGCATACCATTCAGATTGTCTTGATGCTAAATCTCTTCTTGGACCATTTAACTGGCTATCTCTTAGTCATTTTACCTGCTTCCCGTTAAATAATTCTGACCTTGATTTTTGAAAACAGTTTGCCCAGCTGGCATGGCTCAGTGGTTGAACGTCAACCCATGAACCAAGAGGTCACGGTTCTATTCCTGGTCAAGACACATGCCCGGGTTGTGGACTCCATCCTCAGTGGAGGGTGTGCAGGAGGCAGCCAATCAATGACTCTCTGTCACCATTGATGTTTCTATCTCTCTCTCCCACTCTCTTCCTCTCTGAAATCAATAAAAATATTTTTTAATCATTAAAATGTGTAACATTCTTTAATTTCCTTACTAAACCATATTTGAGAACCTGTTTGATCCATGTCCTGTCTATGTCATTTCCGTGTTACTTTTATCATGTAGTCAAGTCTTCCATCTATTTCTCTACAAATGTTTTAAAGTAAGCTTTTTTGCTAAAGAAAATAGATTACAGAGATGAAAAGAATGAACTCATCTCTTGTAAATTCTAGGTTTACTCCCCCAGAGAGCTTATTCTTAGAACCACACTGAGTCAGCAGTATTTCTTTATATATGCTTGTATTAGAAAAATGCCATGTGCTTATGTTATTGAATTATTAAAGAATTTGGTGAAATAATGTTGGTGGAAAATGTTAAACAAACGGTATCTATTATTTTTAATCAGTTCCATATAATTTCCCTCTTAGATTACATGTAAACATGCATAGCACTACATTCTGGAATGAAGGGAGAGTGTTGAAGTACATGGGATTATGCTGCCCTCTAGTGGTATGAAGAAAGCATTTATCTTCTACAGGAAGAAAGGAGGGAGAGGAGTTGAAATAGAAATTTTGAGTAGGCATAAGGACACATCTCATGTGCTGGCTCTTAATCAAACACTTATTATGTACTTTGATAAT